GGCCAACATTTCTCTATTAAAAAAAAATCTTTGCTTTGTTTTTGTTCTAATTGGTTTTAAACATGCAGCATTATGTATTTTCCAAGAACACAGTGCCATTTTACAGCAGAATCAAGTAACTGTGTTATGTTCAGTTGTTATAAAAATGGTTTATATATCTAATATGATTTAACAGAAATTTGACTGCGATCTTTAACACCTTGAAATTTGGCCACTGTCCCTTTAAGATGCTCTTGCTATCTCTGACGCTCTGCCTTCAGGAAGTCATCACAACGTGGCTCCTCTATTAACCCTTTAACAACATTTTTACCAGCGTTCAACCAAGAAGTAGCTCAGTAGATATGCAGTTCCATCAGGTGTTTGCTAATTGCTGCTAGCTAGTCTGAAGGAGCTGAGTGAGAAAGTCGCAGGAGACGACTGCTCTGTAATTCAAAAGCTCAGAAGCTCAAAGAGGAGGAGAGGTGCCTCAAAGGCAGAGCTAGGTCCAGCCAGGCGTGTTGCACAGCTAAGTGGTTGCCATGGAGATTTAAGGATATTTTTTCAAACATGCATGAAAGAATCAAGGCTACAGTCCAGGTGTGGCTTTAATGAAGGGCTAAAATGATCACATGACACAAACCTATAAAAAGTCAGTTTTGCATAATGCGCCAAGTACCTTAAAGCAATATTTTCTCAGAAACCGAATGTTGGATTTTTATTACATCGAAGCCACAATCATCAAAACTTAGAGACATAAACACTTATGCTACATTTTTAGCATGCAATGATTCTAGACAATATCTGCCAGTTTATTACAAGGCAACCCAGAGACCCACAGGGACAAACAACAATGAACTCCTCTGAGTCGGTTTACAGGAGCCAATTAAATCTACATTTTTGCACTACTGGGGCGAAGCTGCAGAAGCTGGAAGGAATCCATGCATTCAAAAGAAAAAAAAAACAAACTCCATGTAGCAGGAGTCAGAATCCAGGACTGTCGTGCTGCAGCACCATGTCCATCTAAATCGATATAGAATATTAACAACTGTCAAGGCCACATGTATCACTGTATTTTTATTACATCTGAAAAAAAAGAAACTTAAAACGAAGACTGGAAGATGGACTTCCTTCAAGAAAAGGATGAGATGGACACCAGCGTTCGCTCTCTGAATGCGATTATCTTATGGCCAGAGGCTTGAGACCCCGACCATTCTCTGGAGGCCACCTTGGCGAAGTTCATTCTGCAGAGAATTGGATTCTTCTCCAACGAAATGAGTGTACCCGTGTGTGTTGGGGTGTGAGGAGACCTGACCTTGAAGAATTGTTTGTTCCTATTCTAACAGTTTCTCTATTGCTTTCCCAAATGCTCATTCTCCTGGAGCAAAGCGATATCATAGCCTGTTATCATCTGTGTGTTGCTGCATGTGGACTGTACTGCTGCAGGATGGTGTCAAAGTAAGCATGTGAGGGAGTAAGAGCGCTAAGTGAAAATAAAAAGCTATTAGCAAAGCTTTCTTTGCAGGAAGCTATGCTAATTAGCTTACTGAAAATTGCATGCCCTCTAAACAATCATCCCATACTGCAGTGCTGAGACAAATTGTTTATCAGCAGTAAAATGTCTTACACATTTCTCTTGCTCTGACTTTGCTCAGTATTTGGAGGCGTGGCCAAAATGGACTGAACATCTTTGTTTACTTCCTCCACTGTTGTTGTCAAACTACAACCAAAGTGCAACAGCAATTCTAAAACAGAGCAGAAAATCAACGTTGTTCGCTGATTGGCCAAGAAAAAAATTCCTCCTGAGAAATCAAGCTGCATGGGAGAAATCCCAGATGGAGAACTGAAGGGAGATGAGAATCGACTGGGATTGCAGTGGAAAGCAATAGACATTCTGGTTTAGCAATGTCACGAGTTTGGTTACATAAGACATTAGTTACATAACTTGTTTTAAATTGGAGTCAATCAATGTGAAAATTTGGGCCGATATCAATATCTAATATTAATACTGCTATTATATTTGATAACTAATATTTACCAATATATATATGTATTTCCCTACACTTTCAACACATTGTAACACAATGTTTTGTTAGTGTTTTTCTGCTTTAGTTGAGCACTCCAATAATCCTCTGCTACAAAACTTGTTGAGTCTTATAATCACATGATTTCACAAATTCCACATGGCCGACCGATTAACCCTCAATTCCTGAAATACAAGCAGCAACAAAATGAAAATATACATCTCTTGATAACATCAGCGTAGCTTTCCTTATCGGATGAATAGCGATACGTTAAATTACCAACATCGGCTGATATTGATATCCTAATATATGGTGCATTCTTAGAGTCAGGAGAGAGGAAAGGATGTTTTCCTGCATCCGTAGCTCATAATGAGCATCCAGATAAAAACAAATCTACAGCCAGGATTACAATCTTCCAACGGCAAAATAATCCCCACGAGAACCAAATACAATTATAGGTGTTTCGATTTTGTGTTGCTATACATTGACAGTCTGAACTGCTTGCCCCATCAGTCAAGACGCTGCTGATTTCCTGTACAATGAAATCAGCAGTCTGGTTTCATTGTACTGGATGATTGTGGTAATTATCTCGACACCCAGAGAAGTGCTTTCAGCAAAAGTGCAATCAGAGTAACCTCATCCAGTGAGGTGCGATCTGGTTTGAAATGATCCCAGACATAAACTCAAAGAAAAAAAACAAACCTGCCTGGTGTTTGCACACTGGTTTTGCTCAGTGGCATTCTCAATCGCAGTTCAGAGATTCATCTCGTGAACTGTGGCAGTATTCCTGTTTATGTCAAGATTTGGACATATTGGACAAAACCGGGGGTTTTAGTTACCGGACAGTGATGCTCAGTGTCATGCAAGCTCAGTGAATAATCACAAAATACCGTTTCACACCCAGCCTTTTCTTCACTGTAGAAACAAAACAAAAAGGAGAAAAAAATGGAAAGCAACTGGGAACTGACTTAGCCTATCTGTTTTATGAAGCAGAAAATATTTTACCTCCTTTTCTCCATAATAAAGAATTGGCACAACACAGAGAGAGCATATGTTGAAATATTTTAGGAAAAATAAACTATGACAAAATCATTAGGCTTTCCAGCAAATAGCTATTCAGCTTTGTCTAAACTGTAACTAAAATGCAAATAAAATACATGCTGAAATAAGATAGCAAATTTCTTTAAGTTTTTAAGTTTTTAAAGCCCTGGTATTATGTATTTTCTAGCAGGATGTTGTCATTTTATAGCAGAATCACGTAGCTACGTTGCCTTCAGTTGTGCTGTGCATATGACATATAACTTTTAAAAAAAACTTGACTTCTTAAATTAACGCCTTCAAATTGGACCGCTGTCTCTTTGAGAAACACCTGGTCTTTCTTCGGGAGGTCATTACAACATGGCTCCTCCTTTTTTTTTTTTTTTTTCCAGCGTTACACGGAGAAGCAGCTCGTATAGTGAGCTCAGATGTCCAGTTCCACCAGCTGCTTGCAAATTGCTGCTGGCTAGTCTGAAGGAGCCTGGTGGGGAGTAGTAGAGGAGCGCTGCTCTGTGAGGCTTAAGCTTAGAAACTGCAGCTCTGAGGAGGAGCTTTGTTGTTGAAGGCGGAGCCAGGCGATTTGCACAAGTGAATGGTTGCCTTGGGAGATTAAATGACTTCTCAAACATGCATGAAAGAATTAAAGCAACAGTCCAGAAATGTTTTGGATGAGAGACTGATATCATGATGTAAAGCTCAGAAAAGTCAATTTGACATATTGTCAGGTGCTCGATACGCCATCTTTCTTGCAAACAGAGGTTGAAGGCCCTCAAAGTTGACTTGAATATGACATCACTTGTCACAAAGAAAAGATGGCAGTTCCTTCCATCCTAAACAGCCTCTAAAAGTGCCTGAGAAGTGAAGGACAGAAGAGACGTCTTTCATCCCCAGAACCAGAACCAAACATTAAGAAGCAGCATTTAACTTCTATACACCACAAATCTGGAAAAAAATAAAAACACCCAGAAAACCAGAGATTAGCTGAAACACTGAGTTCCTTTAAACCAAGGCTAAAAACCCACCTGCATTTGAACCACGATAAATGGAACATTGACTAACATATTCAATGCACATTGAACCTAAATTTATATCCTGATATAGAAACGCCGTGTAGATAAGGAATCTTATGTCTAACCTTTCATAAACCTGAGATTTTCTTTGCTAATAACAGAACACATGATTTCAGCCGAAAGAGCGCCCCCTTTTGCCTGGATGCGAAACTTTTTTCCTTTTTTTTTTTTTTTGCCATAAGTTAACCCAGACTGGTCTGCACAACCAGTTGACAACTGTTTTGCGTCACATAGGAACAATAAACGAATTGAATATATTCGTATGGTTAAACGATGCTCGTTTCTCAAACAATTCAAACATCAAACCGTCTGAACCGGAACATCGGCGACGACAAAAACCGCAAACTGCGCTTGTCGGACCACATTCCGGTGTATTTTAAAAAATCGATGCTGAAGCAGAGACAGTTCGCATTTCCATTCGACTTGCGGCTCTGAACGTGAACGCCACGCACTGCATGTACTTCATACTCAAAGAATGAGGGACAAACACGGGTCTATTAATTAGATCCATTGGTTATTATTATTATTCAATTTGAGTTTTAATGTCCAAACTCAAATTCAATATCTGTAATGAAGCAGTTCATAAAATTATAAATAAATAAATAAATAAATAAATAAATAAATAAATAAATAAATAAATAAATAAATAAATAAATAAATGTCACGCTGATGTTAAAAAGTGATGTAATGTCCCAAAAATTTACAAGGCCTCTGAGACACAGGCAACAGACTCATATGAATCGGAAGTGTTTATTGTTATTATTATATCATTATTGCTATTAATATCGACGGGATTTGATTTCAGTTGTGTTTTAAAAGCTAAACTCTTGTTCCATTGCGATCTGAATTCAAGCAACAGGAAACGACAGACGGACGCGTTGCTTTCTCTTACCTGTTCAGACATCAAACTGGACGTCTGAGTTGTGCAGGAGAAAAAAAATAGTTTAAAAAAAAGCAAAAAAAAAAACGCCCTGGCAATCCTCAAACGTGAGCGCCACTTTCCAAATTCTTCACTGTAACTCCAGAGCCCGAACACTGCGTCTCCCCCATGAGCAGGCTCGATATTCCAACCGCCTTGCTTTCAAAAACAAAAGCGAAAAATGAACACAATCACAACCGAAGTCGTCCTCGGGGTTCAAAAAGTCCCCGATATTGATTTCCTTCTCGTTTTAAGTCATTCGGTGGTGAAATTTGTTGCGTAACCGTGAAAGAAGGAAGGGGCAAATCACTGGACCCCGACGCGCCTTGAAGCCATGAACGTCGGTCCCCGCGTTCCCTCCTTCCCTTCCCCATCCGCCCTCAGTTCACCGCTATCGCCGCGAACTTAAGTGATGAGACCGAAGGAGAGAGGCGCATCCAAGTTGAACACGAGGCAGCTCCATCCGCGGCCAGCGCAGGGCTGACGCGCTGCGCCCCCAGAGATAGAGGAGCTCAAACACGCGTCTTGAGGCGGCAGATCGGCGCAAATACAGTAAAAAAAAAGGAGGGGGAAAAAAAGAGGGGAAATAACACAAATCAAAATGCCAGAAAAAGGCTCCTCATCGCGAGCCTCTTGGCGTTCGCTCCATCACCAACTTCAATCCAAAACGCTCCTCGCGCTCCGCGTCGCGAGCGGAACGCGGCTCTCTCGCCCGTCACTTGGTTCGTGCATCTCTGCGGGACTCGCCTCTCTCTGCAAAAGTCGGTGGATTCCTCAGTGGACGCTCCAACAACAAAAATAACATTTAGAAAAAAATAATAATAAATGAAAACGGAGAGAAGGGAACTACATTTCCATCTAAACCCAGAGCAGAACGCAGCTTTTTTTTTTTTTTTACACGGGTCTCTCACCCGCCTGTTGCGACAATTATTATTATTATTATTATTATTATTATTATTATTATTATTATTATTATTATATTTGTTTATTTATTCACTGTGGGATCGCGGCGCACGTTTCGGAGCGCAGCGGTACAAAGCAGCGACGCGCTCTGTGGGTGATTTCATCCCGTCTGAACCGTTTCACCGCACTCTCCTTGTCGGGGTATTTTATTGGCAAAAAGGGCCACGTGAAAGATCTCAAACACACGCGGACCCGAAGTTGCCTGGTGGTGTTTTTTTTTTTTTTTGCTGATATTTGCTCCCACCGGGTGGAGGCGCTGCTGTGTCTGCCGCCGGGTTCAGGTGGAGTGGGAGGCAGGAGAGCCTTTGAGGTGCAGCCTAATGAATATTTCAACGGCGGCAGCCCTGAACGCAGAGAGAGAGAGACGCGGAAAAGAGCAATGTAAGCGTGCGCGAGCGAAGATGCGCGCGCGTACGAGGCGCCGTGTCGCGCGCAAGTGAGGATATATAGCACGGAAAGATGGGGGGGATGTTCTCTGCAGAAAACCGACCTCGGATCAGCACCAAGGACAGCGACCGTTTCAGCAACATGAAAACACACTTAAAAAAAGTCATAAAAACCTCAAAATTATTTGTATACGTACAACCAATATATTTATCGATACTCCAGTAATTATCGGAACTCAATGTTTTGCCAGTTTTACAGTTTTCTGGAAGTTTGTTCCAGGTTTGTGGTGCATAGAAGCCGAATGGTTCCCATGTTTGCATGAGCAACATGTCCATTTAGAGAAGTTTTACAGTTCAGACGTATGGATAAAAAATAAATCTGGTAACATCTGGTGAAAACTTGCAAATTAAAATAACCAACAATAAAAGCTTTGGGCGGAGCTGGACCCCAAAACCTGCAACGTCTGCCATAGACATTAAATTTTTTTTCCATTCTTCATTTATTATTCATCATTCTTGTGGATCCTTTGGTGGGTTCATGGGGGTTTTGATGAAACATATTGATCTGAGTCAGCTGGGTTTACACCAAGGCCGTGGCAGAGGATTTGTGTTGCTTTGGATGCGTCTCACGTTCAACCCAAATGTTCAAACTTTTCTTTTTTTTCCCTTCAGCAAACTTCGTCACCGTTATGAAAGCCGAACTGCGGTCAAAGGACGTTAGAATATTTTTAAAAAGTTTTCGAGTTACCACTCTCTGACACTACACTATAGTAGAGACAGTGTTGGAATTGTATGAATTTTGACAGAATTCATTTTCATTTCAATCGTCTGACATAGAAAAAAAAAATCTTTGAAGGAGAAAACACAATAACGGATAAAGAATAAACCAAAGCTGCCCAAAAGGCTCAGGTTTCTTTCACCGGTTCTCTTTGTGAAGACAGGTCCTTTACATTTTGACAGAACAAGTCAAAAAACCTTGTTTGCAAGAGTCATAATTGACCAAAGTAATCCAAATATTGACATACCAACAACAAAAAAAACTCAATTCTTAGAAACCACTTTTGTTGGAATGAAGGATTTATTATTTCTTCGATAGAGAGAATCTACATTGTTGGAGAGTTTGATCTGTTCATCGGCAAAGAAATCCATAACTAGTCCCTGTTAGTCCCCACAACTAATACAACAAAATTAATGTCTGGTTTTACTTTGAGATACATAAGGCAAAAAATATGTTTTCACCCAAACTTTTTGGTTTCACATGCATTTGATATTTTAAAATAGTCTGACACGGACAAAGACTGTTTTGAATCGATGCCCAGACTCTCCGTGTCCTCAGTCCTCTTCTATAGCATCTCTTCGTGTTTTTATTGGTAATTACATAAAGACAAAGAGAAAGCAGCAGTGTGATGTATCAAAATCCCATTGGATTACAAAATGTCCTCATCCTCTGCCAGCACAACAAGGAAGGTCAAGTGTTCTCCAAGACCCCACAGAGAAACCGGCTGCTGAGTACCTCGGTCACGTTCGCGCCGTCTCCTCGAAGCTCGATTGTCTCTTTTCATGTCGGGTTCTCAAGCCACTGATGGACCACAGAAAATAGGACACGGTGGACGCAGTGATTGACTTTTATTTTAAGTTTTCTGAACGGATTCTTGTCTTGGGACAAACTTACTCCGCAAGCTAAGGTAAAACAGACAAATTAAAGCCTTAAGAAATAGATGTCATTTTTCAGGTGACAAAGTCAAGCAAAAAGATGCAACAGCATGGAGAGGAAGGTCTATGGATAGGATATGGAGCACTTTATTTGTAGACGTAAAAACCAGTCTAGGGGCTAAGGAGTAATTTTGCACAACAAGGGAAAAGTAAGCTGATTCAAAGTCACAACAAGTCGATAACTGATAGATTTTCTAAAGTCTTAAGTTTAGAAAAGGCCGGTGGTAGGAACGCTAAGGCTCTGCACCAGCAACCCAGTGTGTTTTTTATGTTAACAAATGTAAAATGTTACAAAAATTTGGAGGTGCATGATCATAATTTGGAAATGAGAGCACATGGTAGGTACAGGAACGGCTCAATTGGCGCGCATCTCCTCTCGCCCACTTCAATGTGTCAACTATAGGTTTAGCTCAAGGTTCTGGGGACTGGCAGAGTAAGTAGCAACATACACGTAAGCTACATGTCAATTTTAGCTTACAGATAAAAGTTACATTAGCTAAGCTAATTCTTTCAGTCTGGTAGTAAGTACTACTGTGGATATCACAGATATTTATCGTAGTATTACACCGATGTGAGTAAGTACTCAAAAGTTTTGCTAGAGTAATAATTATAATGCACTCACATGGTTTATAAGCTAGATAGGAAAGAGGTGAGAGCTAGCTCTAAGCTTGTGTCTTATTTACTGTCACAGCAACTGCCTGCCAAGATGGCTGTCAGTTACCAACTATGTATTGACCCTTTGCAACTATGTCCCTTTGTCACTCGGGGTGCCATGACAGACATTGGAAGTGAGGGACTGTAGTATTTAACCGAGAGACTCAAATTGTTTTCCCCAAAAGCTGTGTTTGCCAATTTAGCGGGGCTTCTTTTATTTTCAAGTCGAGCTAATTTGTATGACCATAGCACGCCTGGTTTGGGCTCTCAGACCCCGATATTTTTGAAAGTTGACAGCTAGCTCAAGAACCGACCCGGACCTCCTCCCTCCTGATGTGCTGGTCAAATTGCAGACTTTGGCTGAATTCACACCACGTGATTTATGCCGCCATTTCAGAAGCAGCATTCCCCTTTACACCGGAGCAACCTTGTACAAAAGACGACATGCTAACTGGTTTTGTCCATACATGCTAGGCTACATGACCGTGGGGCATCCTGATGCAATATTTGCATCAGGATGCAATATAGGCCTACTTATAAAGTAGACCTATATGAACTCTAATCGTCTCACCTTGTAAAATGTGTTTTACGAAGTAGGGATTACACGATTAGCCTACATCGAGGTAGTCATTATTCATGATGGCTGCCATTTTTTGCCGCCGTATTTTTCCTCATTAAAAGTCATTTGATAAAACGATGAATTTAGTTCGGATCCTTGTTTGTGCAGCCGATTGCGGAGCATCTGTTAATGACTTTTAAAGTGAAATCAACTCAGTAAAATCGACATTAGGCCCCCAGACGTCTGTTTTTTACAGGAAGCGCATAGGTTGCTTCAACATCCGTCACGGCGGGGCTGGCAGAGATCTGGAGAGAGTGACGTCACGCACCCGATGGTCGATATCAATCACTTGGAAGTTAACACAGTCATGGTGTATAATCTTTCTATTTTTACATTGCTGACATATCGCATTAAAATCGCCGTGTGCCATGAATCATTCTCTTTAATTCAGTCCCGCCGCGGTTACCCGAACAGTATGCGGGTCACGTGCTCCGAGGCGCCGATCACACATTGAGAAATGCCTCCTGAAGAGATTTCCTCATTAAAACAAAGGACGGGCCGCGGCTTGTCCTCCAGAAAGTCTCCCCCTCACCCTGTGACAATGTGTCGGCGACGCTCCGGCAGTCTTAGATGCGGACCCGACAAGGCTTTCATCACCAAAGCCGCCCGTTACTCAGAGAGCCGCTGAAGCAAAGGCCTCATCAAGTGTCCTTGTTTATGGATATTTTGTCACGTCGGAATGATCAGCGGTGCATCTGCCTGATAGGCCATTAAAATGTCCCAGCAGGGGGGCATCTTTGGTGATTACTCTTGTTTTGCCCCATTTCCACCAACTTGTCATTGTGGTCATTTCGTTGACCTTCAGGGTTAAATGCTCTCGCTGAATGCTTTATTGTTTTCTGGTATGTTAGCAGTGGCACCCCAGAATATATATATATATTCTTAATCAATCGATTAAAATGTTTTATTTTAATTTATTAATCATACTCTAGTGCTGTGATAAATCACAAATAATCACTGTGCCTAACTTTGTAAGCTTGAAATATAAATATTCACGCAAGTTGTTGTTCTTGCATGAATGGTCCTGGGCAACCAATTTTCAACGCAAACAGTTGTCAGATTTATTTTATTTGCTTTTTGTGCAGGTAATGCAAAAAAAGCAGAGGAATCAGCAGCAACTAAGGGAAACTTACTCCACTGCACATTCATGCAAGTAGTGGCGAGCATGTTCAGGGAACGACTGACAAACAGGATATGTCAAAAACCTCCACATCTGCATGTTTTCAAGCAAAAATATTCTTATTATCTCAAACCAAACTTGTCTGAAAATGATCCATTTTACAGGTTTTTATATTTAGATATATGTGTAAAGCAATACTGTTTGTAGCTCAGTTACCAAATCCTACCTG